CGCGGTATGCTTCGTTCCGGTTACGTATTGCTCTATACTAGACGTTGTACTTGACATTGTGCATTCGTCGTTAAAACTGCTACGTAAACTACGTTCAGTGACAGCAGAAGTTACTACACTCGCAACAACTTCAAATTCCGGACCTTAGTTGCATTGCTCATAGAGAAACGTATTAGATCATTATGTTTGTCGCTGATGAGCGTTTGGTCTTCACCTGGAAATTTTGAGACCATTTCAGGTCGTGGACTTCTCGCTACACTCGTAGAATTGTTTTACACAAGTCATAGGCGTGACTACGGTGGCAACTAGGGTGCCTGAACTCTACCAATACTCGAGCGCCGTCAACAAGTTTTAAATTAGTGGTTTCACTTTTTATTTAGAAAAATAGTTATGTGTTGTTCTATTTGTTAATCACAATGAAATGTGATTTATGATTGCTTATCGCATAATCCGATAATAATATTATGTGGTAACTGCCTGGTATAATTTTGCGAAATATATGAGTTATTTTATAACTACTTAGAGAAATATTTCGAAGTAGGAAAACCATGGCAGGGAAGTGGTGGTGACGACCCTACACAGTTTTGGAACTTAACTACAGTCGACGATTAGGTTCATTATGTTATCTATTAATGGTTGTTGACATGTTGTATTATTTTCATCCGATCAACTCACAATTTTATTCTCAAACACTCGGACTTGATACACACGAGTACATGACTGTTAAACTGTAATCAGTAATGCTAGTTATTGACTATTGTTCTCGGTTTTGATTTTTGTTTCTGTATCTGAGACTTGGTCTTTAGAGAATGGATATTTTTAAAAGAAAAAAAGGTGGAGCCGCTGGAGAACGAGATCGCAAAAAAGTTAAATTGGTTCAAATTTCTAAATCTTGTCAAAACATAAAATCTTTCTTTAAATTAAATAATGAAAATAAAGTTGTTGTTGATAATAATGAAAACGAAGATGATCCTGATTACCCTGCTTCATGCATGGTGAGTATAAGTGCAGTATTGTAAAGTATTTGAGTAAATCTGTAAATGTATTTAAATACTTTTATACTATTTAGAATACTTCTTAAATACTTTTTGATTTAATTATTTGGAAAGTATTTTAAATACTGTCTTGGACGTATTTGAATTTGAAAATCAAATAATTTTATACAAATACTTTTGCAAATTCAAATACGAATTATTCGTCAGTTGTCACATATTATTATTTTTATTTTAAAAATTGTTATAGGTAGTATTTTTTTTATAAATTATAATATTTTTTCATTCATAAATGTTGAGAACCCAACTTAAATTAATTAAATAAATTATAAATAATATTAATTTGGTGAACTAGTAGAAAAGTAAAATAAAAAAGTATTTGAAAAGTATATAAATACATTCCAAGTGTTTGTATTTAAATACAATTTAAAAAGTATCTTTTATAAGATTGAATAAGTGTTTTTTTTATTAGATAGGTATTTTATATTTTACCTTTTTGAGTCACAATATTATTAATTTTACAGAATGAAAAGAACAGCGAAAATGTAATTTGTGATACACTTGAATTTGAACCAGATGTAAGTTAATCATTACCCACCCATATTATGTATAATTTTATATTTTTATTTGTTTTATCATTAATATTATTAATTTTACAAAATTAAAAGAATAGTGAAAATGTAATTTTATTATTATTTTATTATTTTTAGCATAATAACAGCCAAAACCAAACAAAAGAAGTTACTAATGATGTCACAGGTAAATACATAGTCTTAATAGTATCTATTAAAGAACAGAAAATACATAACCTACCTACTTCAAATATAAATATAATAATTTTTTGGAACATTTGAATTCTACAATTTTAAACATATCAAGTTTACCAAATTATAGATTAAAAAAAATATATTTATAATAATTAAAGAAAATAAGTCCTTAAATTAATTTATTTTATTTTATCAATTATTTATATATTATAGCATACCTATATTATTAATTATTTTAAAATTAATGATTAATATTGGATAATATATACTACATTTTGTATTATTTTATCTCATATTTAAATAAATATAATCAGTATTCTATAATGTATGCATGGACATTTTTGTTTCAGATTTTAATATTACTATCAATGATCCAACAGTTAGGTTACCAACCAATCGTCTAGAGTTTTATCAAAGAATTATTCAAGGTCCATATCGTCCAATTTTAAAGCTTTACCCGAGAACCTTACAAGGAAAGAAACAGCGTTCGTTTCAAAAGTCATGGTATGAAATGTATAGTTGGTTAGAATATAGTCCGATAGTTGATGCAGCATTTTGCTTTCCGTGTCGTTGTTTTAACGGAAATGAATCTAATATCGGTCAGACAGAACAAGTGTTTACTAAAACAGGATTTAATAGTTGGTACAGGGCTTCTGAAAGATTAAAATCTCATCAAATGTCAAAATGTCACATAAATAGTAAAACAGCTATGAATAATTTTTGTTTTAAAAAATCTATTGATGAAGTAATTGACAGTAATAAAACTTTACAGCTAAGTAAAAGGGAATCAGAACGATTAAATAACAGGGAAATGATGAAACGTTTAATTGATATCGTAATTTGTCTTGCTAAATGTGGTAAGCCTTTTCGTGGGCATGATGAATCGCACACCAGTTATCAAAAAGGTATGTTCTTAGAATTGATTCAAATCTTATACAAATACAATACTGTTTTAAAAACTCATATTGATAGTGGTCCTAAAAATGCAATTTACACAAGCAATGTAATTCAAAATGACATTATAAATTCTATACACAATGTAATCATTCAAGAATTAAAATTAAAATTACAAAATACTCATATTGCAATTATGGCAGATGAAACCAGCGACGTAGGTCACCACGAGCAACTCTCTGTGGTTTTTCGCTATTTTGATACCAAAACAAATCGCCCAATAGAAACATTTATTACTTTGAGACGTATGTTATGTGTAGATGCAGAATCAATTTTTAATGCACTTGATGATGTAATTACTTGTCAATTTATGTTAGATTGGAAGAATGTAATTGCAGTATGTTTTGATGGAGCAGCAACTATGGCAGGTAATATAAATGGCGTACAAGCCAAATGCAAGAATAAAAATAAAAATATTTTGCATGTGCACTGTTATGCACATTGCTTAAATTTAACTTTAATGGATGCTGTTTGTGCTAATGCAAAGTATAGTGAAGTAAATAAATGTGTCTTTGATTTTCTTGGGACGGTACAATTCATTTATTCTTTTATTGAAGGGAGTCCAATACGACACGCAGTATTTGAAAGATTTGCCAAGTTAGATGGTGCTAAAGTACAAACATTGAAATCAATGTCTCAAACTAGGTGGGCTTGTCGCGCTGATGCAGTGAATGCAGTTAAAAACAATTACAAAGCTTTATTATGTACGTTAAAAGAAATAAATTTAAAATGTTTGATACCTGAAGCAAGAGCTAAATGTCGTGGACTTCTATATCAACTTAAAACCTTTGAGTTTGTTTATTGTTTAAATTTAATGCAACCAATTTTACAATTGATACTAAAAGTAAGTTCATCTTTACAAGCTTCGAACTTAGAACTTTTTACTGCTGTTTCACTTATACATGCCTTAAGATCTTCATTAAACTCATTAAGGAATTCGCCTCAAGAAATGCAATCTATATTTTTGAATACAGAACAAATGTGTAGTGAAAATAATATTGAAATACCTACTGTAAAAAATAGAAAAGTTTCAAAAAAGAGAGATGATATGCAGTGTTCTACATCACAACATATTTATCTTACAACGAGTGAAGAAATGAAATTAACTGTTGTTTTTCCATTATTAGATGTGTTATTATCTGGAATCGATGATAGATTTAAACAAGAAACATCTGATTTAATAACTGTGATTGGACAGTTAATTAACTTAGAGTTGAATTGCAACTCATCTTGTATATACATACTAAAGAATTTGCTAAATATTCAAACACAAGATCTTTTTGTAGAGATTAAGCTTTTAAAAAGTATTGAGGACACACCCAAAGGAACATCATCAGATTATGTTTATAAGTGGCTTGATTGGTTAGCAATAGAAGGAAGATACGATACTTTCAGGACATTTTATAACTGTCTAACATATTTTGTGGTTATACCAGTGACGAGTTGTGGATGTGAAAGAAGTTTTTCAAAAATGTCAATAGTAAAAACCAAATTAAGAAGCACAATGGCACAAGAAAGGCTCAATGCATTATTATTTTTATTTATAGAACAAGAATATGTGTGTGATGTCAATGTTGAGAGTGTGATTGATGATTTTAAAAATGTCCCTACAAAAAGAAGACTCGCTCTTTGATTTATGTTTGTTATATTGTTTTATAATATAAATACAATGAGTTGTTCAATGTTCTTCTTATTATTAAACATATTAGATAGGTACCTTCCTCTATATACATAATATTTATAGAATTTTGTTATTCTATACAGTATACGCTTACACATCATGCATGTTGTTTATTATCTAATTTTATTATATGGTGTAATCCAGGCTTGTATATAGATGAATAATAATATTAATATTTCTGGAGTTAAATTTAAAGGTAGGTACTGAAAATACAGAATACTGTATATTATTAATTGAGATAGACTTTTTTAAAACTATATAAATGTTGAATTGGAGGGACAACCCCCCCCTTATTAGGGGGTAATGGGGCATTTTTCGGTTCATTTAGGTGGCGCCGGTCATAAGTTAGGCTGCCACTGCGGATGAAGTCTAGTCACGCCTATGCTACAAGTTATCGAGAGCAAGACGTACCGTGGAATGTGCTTTCGGAGTTTTGGCCAATAAATGGCGAGTTTTGCACACGACCATTTTAGTGGAATCAGATTTTTGCGATAATATTGTTAAAGCATGTTGTGTTCTCCATAATTTTATCCGAAAGAGAGACGAGTATAATTACGATGAAGAAACTGATGTGCATAATTTGAATAATTTGACAACTCGTGGAAGAAATATTAATAGAAGTGGAATAGACGTAAGAGATAATTTTGCTGATTATTTTATGGCTGATGGAGCGGTACCTTTCCAATACTGAATGCTTTAGATCTTTAGAATCTAAGTATATTATATTTTATATTATAAATTATATTATTTTAAAAAAATATTTTTTTTTTTTTTTTTGTACCCCTGAAATGTCATATTATACAGTACATAATACATTAATACATTATAACATAAGTAAGTATAGTATAGTAATACTTAACTTTACTATTTTGTTCGATAGTATTATTTTATTTATTTATTTATACCTATTTAACCTATTATTATAATCATATGATTAATTTTCTTACCTCTTTCTTCTTTTTCAGCAGCTTCCAAATTATCCCATTCCAAATTGTATACAGCTTCGGCTACTTTCAACCAAGATGAGCTTCTTTGGTCCCTATTCATATAATCATTTGAGCTCATATCCCAAATACACGGATAGTTTTGAACCTCGGTTATAAGTTTTTCGGTTGAATACATGTTTATTGTGTTAAAATAAAAAAATATTAAAAAAAACTGCAAAGTACACTATTCAAAAAATAACGGTAACCGAAAAACGCTCAGTGTAGACGGCCCTGTAATGAATGAATGTAATTTTGTATACGGCGGAAACGCATCGTCGCAACCAAACCGCAAGAGCGCGCGGATTATTCCAGACCGATTTCGGACAGTTCGGAGAAACGGTCTAGTCTAGACACAACAACGCAGTTTACATGTTAATTATAGGTGTCTCGGTCGTTTATCGATCGGTTGCGTATTATCGGCATAAGATCCGGCACTTAGTGTTCATGAGGATAAAACACCTCCATTAAATACTATAATATCTGATTTGGAAGATAATTTAGAATTGGAATGTGGGAATGATATTTATGTTTTAAATAATGTTCAGTTATAAAATGAATCCGGTAGTTCATCATCTAGTAATTTATCAGATCATTTTATAACAAAATATTAATGTATACATTTTGAAATTGCTCAACGGGCAATGCTTCATAAAATTTCGCATACTGCTGTAAATGATCTATTAAGTTTATTAAGAAAACATAAATGTTTTTCGTATTTACCGAGGATGCTAGGACAAATTTACATACTTAATCAGTTTAAATAGAAAGTGTTCATGATGTTTATCCCGGTAAATACCATCATTATGGTCTTGAAATTGGTATGAACCGTCATCTATCAAATGAAAATACTTTACAGAGATTAAATTTGTCATAGGGATAGATGGTTTACCTATTTCTAAAAACAATTCAAACCAATTTTATCCTATACTAGCATATATGAAACCAACTTCGAGTATAGTTTTTCCAGTGGGTATGTACTTTGGAACTGAAAAACCTTCTGACAGTAATGAGTTTTTAAAAGATTTCATTAATGAAGTTAATAATTTAGTTTCTAATAGAATTTTAATTAAAAATAAATAATAGAAAGTCATTATTGATGTATTCTGTTGCGATACACAAGCAAAAGCATTTATTTTGAGAATTAAGTCTCATATGGTTTTTTTTCCTGTTCACGTTGTAAAATTGAAGGCGAATACAAATCAAATAGAGTGTATTTTACATATAGTGAACCTAATAGGAGATCTAACAAGAGATGTTAACACTGGATATTTTACAAGATCACAAAATAGACACTGTCTCTCTTCAATTACTAACTCATGTGTTACTGAAATTCCTGGTTTAGATATTGTTAATAATTTTTCTCTTGACTACATGCACCTGGTATATCTTGGTGTTACAAAAAAATTGATTTTTTTATGTATGAAAGGGCCATTAATAGTGAGGTTACCGTCGTGGAAAATTAAAGAATTGTCAAAATTAACTTTAAACTCGAAATCAAGTTTTGCAGGGACGTACGCAGAAAAAAGTTTCGGGGGGTGTTTTTGGAAATCAGTTGCTGAAAAGTAGAACTTTTTTTTTAATAAACATACGAAATTTTTTTAAGAAAATTATCTATACTTAGTACTTCCATTTTCCAATACTTTTTTAAAATATAAACAAAAAAATTACAATACTAAATCTAATTTTCGTGAATTTTTAGCCATTATGTTAAGAATATCTTCACAATTAATTTCTATGTCTCTATGCACATTTATAGTTTGGACACAAAAAATGATCGCTGCCCGCCATGCGCCAAACGGCTGTTTTTTCTGAATTGGTTACCAAACTAGCAAATTAAAAGCCCGCTTTTTCTTGAAATATTTTCATACATTTATCAGAATTTAATAACATGGTTATTTTGTTATAGTTAATTTTTAATAAGATACGAACAAATAAATAATATACATAATGTAAAAAAAGTACAATATTTTTAACAGTTAATAATAAATAAAATACAAGTATAACATAATAATGAAATAATAATTTTTATTCAAATTCTTAAACGTCGTTTTCGCTGTCTCCGTCAGTACCGAAATCACTGTCATCAGATGCAAGTGTTAAAATAATTGGCTCCGTCAAATTGTCTCTCAATATTTCTTTTTCGTAATCTTCATCTTGAATCTTCTCAGCATGTTTAACACATTTCTCCCAGTCACTTTTTGATACCGAATCCAACGCCTCGTTTGTAAGTCTTTCGACGTCCACCATTTTAAAAATGTTATTTTTTTTTGCCACTTCACTTTTGACTTGCGCCCGATATGATTTTGACTCGATATGAGTTCGATAGGGTTATACTGGCAGTCAGTGGCGGACTGGCAAGGGATGCCGGGATGCGATTGCATCCCGGGCCCTAACTTAGCCGGGCCCCATGGCCCCCCATGTACACTTAAAAAAAATAATTTAAATAAAATGCTTTTAAAAATTATTTGTAACTTTGTCAGTGTAACGGGTCTAAAAAAACGTTATTAATAATTATTATTATTTTTACTATTACTGTTGATTATAAATACTATGTATAGATCACTGCTATAGTACCCTCATTGATTTTAAAATATACATAATATTTAATATAAGTATATTTTAAAATCAATGGTACCATGAACAATGTGTTGCGCTGTCTCGATATGGAGCGATAAGGAATTCAGTCTATAATAAAACGAAAATGAATAAACTTAGTTTTATTTTTGGATTTATCTCTGAACAATAACGAAATAATAATATCATGTAAATATAACACTATAGACTATCGTGTTTTATTCACTACTATAGTAGAGTTGCTGTTAGATTATTTTTATTATGTGTAAAACTAGAACGTACGTAACACATACGTCTTAGTCGTCGTCTTCGTCTTACTCATTTCATATGTTTTATTGAATAGTGAACCATTAAACTAGTGCAACTGGAATCCTGATTCAAAGAGGTAAATTAATTTAATATTTTTATGACTATTTACTCGTATAAAAAATGAAGCACGATTTATAATTTATAATTTCTTTATTTTGATACTAGTAAAACACTAGAATAAGAAGTTTAAAAAATAATAATAATGTTTTCAATTTTGTATGTGATAGGTATTATTAATTAATTCCTTTCCTTTATTATTTATGTTGCATATTTGGTTGTTTTTACTGCACATTTTTAATGTATAAGTATTTTATTATTTTTAAGGTCATATTTTATAGCATATTTTACAATTTTAGTGTATCTAGTGTATTTAAAGCGTTATCCTTTTATAAAATCTCCGCTATCAGTGGTGTAAATTGTTCTCAATTTTTAATGGTGCAGAGAAATATTTTATTTTTTAACCCATTAATACTAAATTCGTTTGAAAATGTCCACCCAATAAAAATTTAATTTTAATTTAATTTTAATGTTAGATTTATTAATAAATATTAAATTATTTTAGTAGAAAAATTTTTATTATTATATAATAACATTAATAAAAAAAATTACAAATATTTTTTTATTTTTAACCGAGTCAACATCTTCTTTTAAAACGTATTGCATCATTCATCAATTACTAATAGATAATTTATATTATCGTCGAAAAAATGTTTACAGAATTGTACTATTGAAATAAGATTTAAGATATTGATACAAAACGACATTTGCACGAAAATTAAATTTTATGCATAGGTACTTGTAATTTATAAACAGATGTATACTTTTGAAAATAGAAATTATTAATAGGTATACAATTTTTTATGGTGCAATTGCTATAATATTGCTATATTTGCATCACCCAATTTACGCCACTGTTCGCTATATTTATATATCATTTCTCTACTTATCTTAGTTACACGATATACTGTTATTTTTTTCTATAGATCAGAATTATTTATAAATTATATCAATTTTATTACAATTTAACTCAAAATTCTTCATTTTTAACACAAAATGTCCAAAAACCAAGATCATTATAAACATAAATTCGGGAACGAAAAAAGAAAACGAATCTTAGAACATGAATTGCAGAAGGCAGGAAATAATCCTAAGCAAACAAAACTAACTGCTCTTTTTAAAACATCAACTTCTGAAGTAGAAACTAAAACTATACCCCCGAATCAGATTAATTTAGAAAAATCTAATAATTCAGAAAGTATTGAATGTTTCCAAAATATAAAAAATCTAATTCCTAGTCATGATGATCCTATAAAGATAAGTCAACCATCTGACCATCATAAAATATCTTATTACAGTATTAATAATGAAACTAAATCCGATGATGATTCTGACTCTGATAATAGTAACTCTGAATACTATGAATGCCAATTTGGGTTTATTTATTGCTCCGAATGAAAATGAAACTTTAGTAGTTAAAATGGATTTTATTAAAAAACACCCAGTCCAACAAACACCGGATTTACATAATTTGCCATTTGATTTCTCAAGAGTATATTTTCGATCTATTAATGATGGTACAGAACATAAAGTTCATCGAAAGTGGTTATCATTTGATAATGTTTCATCAAAAATATATAGTTCAGTTTGCATGACATTTGGAAAAAATCGAGACAGTGTTTTTGTAAAAGGAATAGACATAAATTTAAAGTCTATATATATTAAAATAAATAAGCATGAAGAATCTAATGTTCCCAATGAAGCTGTCAGTACGTATCTGCGATTAGATTCTGGAAAATCAGTTAAAGCATTAATTCATATTCAAAGGTCAAAAGAAATTCAAGAAAATCGTCTCGTTATGTTAAGGATAATTGATATCATTCTTACATTAGCTAAACAGGATATAGCTTTTAGAGGTCACAATTTTGAATCTGCATATAATTTACAACAGTCAGAAAATTTGATACAAAACCAAGGCAATTTTCTTGCTCTTATAAAACTTGTTGCAAAGTACGATTCAATTTTATTAAATCATGTACAAAAGTCTAGTCTGAAAAGCGAATCATTACGAAAATCACGTAATGAAAAAGCAAATAGTAGTATTAGCAAAAAATCAGGAAGAGGCTCGTTATTAACGTTTTTATCAAAAACTACTGTCAATAAAGTTGTTATTATTATAGGCAACTTAATTTCAGCATTCATTGCAGAAGATGTTATCGCAGCTAAAGCCTTTTCGCTCGAAGTAGATTCAACGCAAGATATTTCTGTAACAGATCAACTCAGTATATGTGTCCGTTATGTTTTAAATGGTGAAATTTATGAAAGACTTATTAAAATGTATGCTCAGTATGATAGTACTGGTAAAGCTCAATACGATTTAATAAAGGCAGAGTTAAATTCTTTGGGAATTGATTTAAAAATTTAATAAGTAATTCATTTGACGGGGCAGCAAACATGAGCGGACAATATAAAGGACTTCAAAATATTTTAAAGGAAGATGCTCCCAAGTCTATTTATACACATTGTCATGCTCACGTTCTCAATTTAGTAATAAGTGATACAACTTTGAGTGTTTTGAATGCTCAAAATGTATTTAATGTTCTTATGTTCTTCAAAAAACGGCAGTACTTTTTTCATACTCTTACAAAAGATCTGATCTCTGGAAACGTATAGTAAGTTCTCAAGATGGAAATGAAAAACTACGTCGCTTGAAAAAAATTGGAACAACCAGATGGAATAGTAAACATCATGCTGTACAAGAGATATTTCATACAACTTCGACGCCAAATAACGACCGTTATCGATACATTAACTTGATTGAAGCACTTCATTTGTTAGGATATCACGAGGCTGTCGATTCTAATACAGCTTCTGACGCCCGTAATCTATTAGAAAAATGGACAAGCTTTGAAATTATATAAACAAGTTTCATTTTTCTTCATATATTTGAAGTATCAACGCCAGTTTCAGCACAAACTAAGTGTTTTAGTCTACAAACTAAAAATCTTGATTATATAGCTGCATGGAATCATATATCATCACTTCAAGAAAAAATGGACAAACTTGCAACTAACTTCGCTGGAATTTACCAAAAAGTAAAAGATTTTATTACCGTAGCAAAAACAAAAACAGAATACTTTGAGCATGTCAATTTGAATGACGAATTACCGGTTCTTAGGCCAAGAAAAAAAAACGAACGGACGGTGAATTAGCAATTGATGAATTACCTACTCTTAGTCCAGTTACCAATTATAAGGTAACTACTTTTATTCCCATCATGGATCAAATTAAATCAACTATTCAAAGGTTTTCCAAATGTGAAGATTTAATGAAATCGTTGGCTTATCTAGATCCTAAGCGTTTTGTGGATATTAACCGCGGTGTACTACTCATAGATGGAGACAACCATCTCTTTAAACGTCTCACAAATCTTGCAAAAGTTAACCATGAAAAATTAATCATAGAATTAAAAGACTTTGCGGCATCTTATGAATCTCTATATATAACAATAAATGCGGATTTAAAAAAAGAAAAATTATACGAAGTGAAGAATCTGTCTGAAAATGATGAAGATTTGAAGAACCAAGATGAAGAAGACGATTTTAATTCAAGCAATTCAGGTAAATGTATAGAAGTTTCAAGTAGTTTACTTATGTCTATAACATATACTTAGGTCTTAAATAACTTATAAAAAACTTGTATTTTTATTTTCAGAGAATGAGTGCAAATATTGTCTTCCATGTGTATTTCGTCTTCTACATAAATATAATTTTCATTCTTCAGCTTACACTAATTTATATTTAACTTACAAATTAATATTAACACTTGCTTGTACTCAAGTAAATTGTGAACGTAGTTTCTCAAAACTAAAAATTATTAAGACGCGTTTACGAGCTTCATTAGGACAAGAACTTTTGGAAGCTTTATTACTTATAAGTATTGAAAAAGATAAAATTCCCAATTCTGAGAGAATTATAAACGAGTTTGGTAAGAGTTCAAATTTACTTTCAACAAAATTGTTATTTTGATTGATATTTTTTTTTTTTTTTGCAGTAAATTTAATATAAAAATTATGATTTTAAGAAAAAATGTAATTTTATTAATATTTTATTATTAATTAATTTCTTTGTTGAAGAATTAATGACTTAAAAAAACATTTTGAATTTGTTAAGTAAAGTATTAAGTACGTATTTATTTGTATCTTTTATCTTTTAAATATTATTTTTATTGAGTTATTTAAAATGTATTAAAGTATTTAGATATCTATTTTATGAATATACTATTAAACTAAGTTTTTCTTCCTCTTCTGTTCTTTCAGTAAAATCTTTCAAATTACTTTCTTGATCCAGGATTCCCTTGGTTAATTATTTTTAATAAAAGGTTTGTGCGTTTATAAAGATAGATAGGTACAAAAAATAACATAAGAAATTGACGTATAATACATGTTTTAAGAAAATAAAGTCCTCTTAAAATCGTTTCTACCAATAATTCAGGCCCCTCACATAGAGCGCATCCCGGGCCCTTAATGTCCCAGTCCGCCACTGCTGCTGCCTGTTGCTAGGTATCTAAAAATATTAAAAATACAGTTACGCTGAATGTCTAGTACATAAAATTATAAAGCATATAAAATAATACATTTTATTTGTTTATTTATCGACATTTTAGATTCTGAACGAAGTGAGGAATGTATTAATTTTACAATAATGTGTTTTTTTTGTGTCTATGTACAGCATAACTAGTCGAAATAATGCTCCAATTATATCTAAGATTAAAAAATTCAACACTAAGTTTTCCATAAGTTTTTCTTCAAGTAGCTATAAAGAAAACACCAAATATCATTATACTAAACATTTTATGTGCCTTTGAATTTTAAATTTTTATGAAATAAAAAATACATTATTAATTTCAATTTATAAAAAAAAAAACCTTAATGAACTATTAACGCCAACATGTGGAACCTAAATCTTAGTTCTAATAGAAAAATAAATTATTTGTATCAAAATAAGATATATTATTACAATTTAAATGTAAGATAGTATATCTTAGGACCTAGGCTGACAAATCTTCTCCGTTCAGAATCGTTTTTCGTATACAATGATACCTCTCATTGGATTCAAATTTAACCTACTATACAGCAGAGCGGTACCCACTTGACCTCGCTTTTTTGTATACTCATTGTATATTTTTATAAAGGATTTTCTAAAATAAATCGATTTTTTTTCTAATTTTTAGCGAAGGAGTGCAAAGAATCCTGGAGGAATTTAAGAATAGTGTATACTCGAGCTTTAAAGAAGCCGCCATCTGGATCTGGGGCAAAAAAGAGACCATGGTATCTTTTAGAAAATATGAATTTTTTAAAACCATATGTTAATATAAATTTGGCAAAATTATTACTCGGAAATCTTCCGTCACCCCATCATACCGAAGACTCAGAAGTATTTGGTGAAAAAATTTCTGAATTCAACGATTCGGTCATAAACAATGATATACAGAACAAGACAAATGATGATGGTAATACAAGTGGAAATGGTGCAAATATTATTAATGAGCAGTTTAGTAAAAATCCAATGGGACCTCCTAAAAAAAAGAAAAAAACACAAGCTGACGCTGACGAGTTTATAATCAATTACATCCGGTCGAAATCAAATCACCGGCCTAATGAAGATGGTCCAAAAAAACTTTTTTTGTTAAGCTTACTTCCGGACATAGAAGAAATGAGTACAGCCCAATTTAGAATGTTTAGACACGAAGTTGTAAATCTTATTGACAGAGTTCTCGGAGGACAACCATCATTAACATCTTATAACTTGACTACTAACCATCAAACAACTTTTCAACAACAATTTGATTCCTCATCATTTGATAGTCAATCTCACGCATCAGAAAACACTTCTGACTTTGATCAACCTAATATGCTGTACCAGGAGCTTCAACCATTCTTACTTCGAAAACCAGAAAAATAAATGACAAAAACTAATTTATATACTAAATCTATATTTTTGTTTTTAAAATTTAATAAATACATAAATTAATTTACCTTAATGTTATTATGAGTTTTTCCTCTGGTTCAAAAGCCATTCTCCAGTTTGTGTCTTTCTTCGTTATACTTGGTCCAACTAATTATAATAAACGATGAAACGCGGGTTGAGACATCCTGTAGAAACTTTGGAATTTTTCCTCATCGGCATTTAATTCTTTTGCAACTACATAATTATTATGTTGTCTATCTCGAATAAGTGGATGAATCCAATACCTACGTTTCCTTTTTTTATTTCGTAACCACCAATATAGCATTAACACATCCTCTTCGTCGGACGATATTATCGAAACTAATTTTTAGTTGCATTGATGTGTGGAGAGTATGAAACAAGTTTCATAAAATTAGTTTTATAAAATCAGTTTCACGAAATCGGTTTCTTTCTATGTGCGGCCTGCCTCAGTTTTGACCGTGAATTCATTATTTTATATGTTTAGCCTTTTAATTGTTTACATTTGAAAGGTACAGGGGAAAAACTGTGGTAGTCCATTTTTTTTTTATTTTGATTTTATGGTTTGATTCAATAGCAAATAAGGAGTAATATCGACAGTTGAAATCGATTCAGTGAAAAAATCTTTCAGTCAGTCCACAGTTATTAAATGAAAAAGATTAGGTAAACTGGTGAAGAAATATTTTAGTCCATAACTATATTTTTGCTCCCCTGAAAAATTTTTAGAAATGGATACTACTGTTTTTCCCCTGTACCCTTTATTTGGTAGCTTTGGTGTACGATTACTAACGTTCATATGATGCCTATTATTTTATTTTAATTTTTTTATTACAAGTAAGCTATGTACTAATTATGATTTGTATTAAATTCATCATTTTAAATATTTAGTTATATATATTTTTTTAATATAATTAACTAGGTACTAAAAATTATTTAATACTTCATACCAGGACAATTTTATGTTATTTCTAAGACTTCTATAAAATATACATTCATTACAACGCTTTTAACAAATAGATTATAGTTGTATTTATATTGAAAAACAAATTGTTTATGAACAAATTCTTATGGAAATGTTATTTTTTTTTATAACATAAAAAAATGAACACTCATTAGTTCCAATTTATGTTTCCATAATATACTATACTCTTATATATAGACTATACATTAATTAGTGAAATAAATACACATTTATATATGATCTATACTATATGACATACCTTAAACATATACGCATGAGGACAAAGGAAAAACCTTTTAAGTAAAACACAAAGTATTAAAAAAATAAAAATAATTTATTCTGAAAAAACATACAAAAAAAATTAGATTTTGAAAAAATAGAAGAAGAATAGTAAAAATAGAACCTTATCTAATTCGTCATATTATACAGATGACGTGTCGTCATTTTCTGGTTCCTAAAAAAAAATGTATTTTTTAC